GCCTATTGAATCAATTGTTGAATGATGATCTCTTGAGTGATCCATCGACTGAATTTCCTGATGATCTCAAGTGTTCTGACAACCCATAAACAATTTTACACTTCTTTTTCGCCACAGCTGATATTACATTTAACATCATTAGCATGTAGTGTGTATATACCTCAAATAATTAATTTGCATAGTCAGTGGAACCTGCAAATAAAAAAACGTATCGAGCTACAACTTTTGAGGCAGACTGCCCATGCAGATGGAAGAATGAAGGAGTTTGATAGGTTTTCATGTGACTAACAATTTATGTTTTGATCTTAGGATCTTATGACCACACACTAAAACTGTTTGATGCCAGAGTGGATAAGAGTGTGATGACCATGGACCACGGCCAACCAGTGGAGAGTCTGCTTCTCTATCCTTCTGAGGGACTCCTCGTCTCTGCAGGTAGTCATCCATTAATACTTTTCATTACTTTTCAATGCATCAGCAAAATGTGCAAACTTGTTGGATTCAAGCAAACTATATTACCAGTGTTTAATTATTTGAACGGTCCTCCACCTTGCTGATGGAGGACCGCTGATAAAAACATAACAAATGTAGTAGTAAGCCAGGCAGCATTAGTTTTACTACACTTGCCGCCTCCCTAAATGACTCTGAATTTTTCTTTTCAATTATCACCACAGCCAACAATATAAGGCGGCAGTAGGAGATGGTGTCTACTAGTTCTTGTCTATTGAATCAATTGTTGAATGATGATCTCTTGAGTGATCCATCGTCTGAATTTCCTGATGATCTCAAGTATTCTGACAACTAATAAACCGTTTTAAACTTAATTATTTTGCATTTAGTCAAGTGTTCACTTTTTTTAAAGCAATTGTTGTTGCAGTAAATCCTCTTGTTGGATTCAAGCAAACTATATTACTAGTGTTTAATTATTTGAACGGTCCTCCACCTTGTTAAGGTTGACAATGGTTGCTGAAAAAGACATAACATATGTAGTAGTAAGCCAGGCAGCATTAAGGTCAATTTCATGCTTGCTTGTGACTTGAATCGGGGAAAAAAAATGACCTGAAATAGTTTTCCTACACGTGCCGCCTCCCTGAACTTGACCAACTCTTGCACACATGCTTAATTATATTTACTAATATATGGGACATTTTAAAATGTATTTTTTCTGCTCTCTTTAGGTGGCCGCTATGTGAAAGTATGGGATCTGCTGAAGGGAGGCCAGCCTCTGGTGTCCTTGAAGAACCATCACAAAACTGTCACGTCTTTGTGTCTCAGCAGCAGCGGCCAGCGACTGCTGTCAGCTTCTCTGGACAGGTATGGGCAAACCTCACTGTAAAATGGCGTACAAAGAAAACATATTCTAATCTCTGGAAATCAGAGCCCACTCTAATCTGTCATCCAATTATTTGAAAAGTTATTTTTATATAAGCCTGATCTAATGCAGAGCATTTGTTTGTCTTTCAGGCATGTAAAGGTGTACAACACAACCAACTACAAAGTGGTCCACAACTTTGACTACGCTGCCTCCATCCTCAGTCTGGCTCTGGCTGTAAGAAATTACATTAAATCCTTAATCATGTTCTATTATACGTTTTTATTTTATTTATGATAATTACACAATGGTTGATGAGTAGCCACATAAGAAAATCCTTATGGAGCGCGTGTGGCCTATACACATGCAAATAAACAACATCAGAGATCAAAATGCCCTTTTATCTGAGGTGCCCCATTAGAGCAAGCTATGATTTGACCAACGAACTGAGACTGCAAGGTAATAGACTTGGTGTCTGCAGCAGCCAACACAAATGTCTGTGCTTGCCAGGGATTTAAACCCATGACACAGTACATCCTATCCTCAGTGTTGGCTTTAGGGCATTGGGTTTCCAGAACACAATGTCCAACCTAACAGTGACCTGACAGCTTTGTTTTTTTCACTTTGGGTTTGCAGTGCTTTTTAGATTTTCATTTTAAATTACCACTACAATCACTGATTTGCTTGACTCGCACTCCTGAAAAGAAATTCTTCCCAGCTATAGCCAACAATATTATCCAATGGAACAGGAGGTGACTGTCTTCTGAAGTTCCTTTGTAGTGAAGTGTTGAATGATGATCCCTTGAGTGATCCATCGTCTGAATTTCATGATGATCTCAAGAATTCTGACAACCTTTAAGCTATTTTACAGACTTATTAATGGCTTCTTGTGTTTAATTGTGTTTCTTCCCTGGATTTCTAGTAAAACAATGAATGTGTCTTTTTTTCCTCAGCCGGATGATGAGTCAATTGTTGTGGGTATGACCAATAGTATCCTGAGTGTCAAACACAGGAAAAGCCTTGAAGATTTGAAGGAAACCTCTGGCCAACAGAGGCGGCGGCCGTCGTATCGCGTTTTTGTGAAGGGGAAGAACCCTGTCCCTAAACAGGTATGTTTATATTTGGTTTGCGTACAGCAGCTGAAGTCAACAGTACATGATGTGATCTATTGATTGATGATTACACATATGTGTGAACTGAATCATAACATACCATGGCTAATGGCTATGTTTCTGCTCACTGAGTTATAATATAAGGCTTTTCTTTCTCACCATTGTTAATTATTTTTCTATCTTTTTTCCAGGATGATTATCTCGTCAGCAAGTCAGTTAAACAGCATCTGGCCAAATATGACAAGCAGCTCAAGAAATTTAATGTCACAAAGGCTTTGGATACAGCTCTCGAGGTATGCATTTATAAAAAGGCCAAATAGTATGTTTTATTATACTGATTAGCAATAGTTGGTGGTGAGGGCTAGTTATGATATTTATTCATTTAGTCAAACTTTAAAGGTCCCATTTCCACTGATCATAATTCCATTGTTGAGGTCTACTAGAATAGATTTATATTGTGCAATTTTCCAAAATCACTTTGGTTTCTCATACAGCATCTCTGTAAACTACGTGTATTCACTGAATTTCACTCTCTGCCTTTAACGGCTCGTTGCAGCTCCAATAGCTCCAGCCCCCACCCTCCCTGTGAGCACAGTGTGCTCTGATTGGTTGGTTCACGTTGTGAATCGCGCTGAGCTCCGTGGAGGTGTGGTTTCCTTGTTTAGCGATACACAGCAAAACTCACCCTGAGCACACACAAAGTCACAGCCGAAATAAAAACAATAAGTGTGGCTTGATATTGAGTAAGAAAAAGGTTGATAAACGC